CAGATGGAATACGGTGCATTAGTGCTTGTATGATCGATCCCATCATGCGCAATTTTAGTGGGTGAAATGTTAATGCACGGGGTCAAAGACACACCCTATTGGTCTTGGGCTTGTTTGCCCTCATCGTTAACCTTTTAGCGTGGTGATTACGCTGTTTTGGGCATAACTTTGCTAGGAGTGTCAGTTTTCAGTGTGTGAGCACTTTCCGGAAAGGTCTCAAAAAGACGCACATGGGCGCGATGCGTCAGAGACCTATCGGGGCTCAGCTTTGACCTCAAAACGAGGACTTCAATTCCCAGGTGGTCACCCATCCTAGTACTACTCTCGCCCAAGGACGCTTAACTTCGGAGTTCTGATGGGATCCGGTGCATTAATGCTGGTATGATCGCACCCATCAAGTGTTGCGCGCATGATGTTCTTATTCCTAATCGGCCGGTATTGCTCATAGTTTAAGCAACAAACTTAACTTAAGAGTACTGATGGGATCCGGTGCATTAGTGCTTGTATGATCTATCCCATCATGCGCAATTTTAGTGGGCAAAATGGTAATACACAGGTCGAAGACAAACCCTATCAGTCTTGGGCTTGTTTGCTCACATCGTTAACCTTTTAGCGTGGTGATTACGCTGTTTTGGGCATAACTTTTGCTAGGAGTGTCCGTTTTCAGCGTGCGAGCACTTTCCGGAAAGGTCTCAATGAGACGCACACGAGCGCGATGCGTCAAAGACCCATAAGGGCTCAATTTTGTTTGTTTCTGGGCCTATGGGCTATTTTATGTTCAGCCCATTTATTTCTCATTCCTATGCCCGTTTTGAGTTTTGTTCGTTTTGGGTTTCGGCCACCCTTGTTTTGTGTAGCTTCCCGACGCACTTTGGAAGTTCACGCAACCCTTTGTGCTCGCTAGACAAATTTTAAAAGAATCAAGCACATAACTTGCAAAAAAATGATAAAAAGAACAAAAAGGGGTGCAACACGAGGAAATCCTAAGGGGTCACCCATCCTAGTACTACTCTCGCTCAAGCACGCTTAACTTCGGAGTTCTGATGCGTCATGTGTTGGTATGATCACCCCCATCAAGTGTTGCGCGCATGATGTTCTTATTCTTATTTCGCTGGTATTGCTAATAGTTTAAGCAACAAACTTAACTTAAGAGTACTAATGGGATCCGGTGCATTAGTACTTGTATGATCGATTCCATCATGCGCAATTTTAGTGGGTGAAATGGTAATGCACGGGGTCGAAGACGCACCCTATCGGTCTTGGGCTTGTTTGCCCACATCGTTAACCTTTTAGCGTGGTGATTACGCTGTTTTGGGCATAACTTTTGTTTGGAGTGTCCATTTTTAGCGTGCGAGCACTTTCCTAAAAGGTCTCAACAAGACGCACAGGGGCGCGATGCGTCGAAGACCCATTGGGGCTCAGCTTTGACCTCAATTTCGCTCGTTTCTGGGCCTATGGCCTATTTTATGTTCATCCCATTTATTTCTCATTCCTATGCCCGTTTTGACTTCTATTCGTTTTGGGTTTCGGCCACCCTTGTTTTGTGTGGCTTCCTGACGCACTTTGAAAGTTCACGTAACTCTTTGTGCTCGCTAGACAGTTTTTAAAAGAATCAAGCACATAACTTACAAAAAAATGATGAAAAGAACAAAAAGGGGTGCAACACGAGGACATCCCCGGGGGTCACCCATCCTAGTACTACTCTCGCCCAAGCACGCTTAACTTCGGAGTTCTGATTGGAACCGGTGCATTAGTACTTATGATGGCACCCATCATGTGTTGCGCGCATGATTTTCTTATTCCTAATATTCCGGTATTGCTCATAGTTTAAGCAACAAACTTAACTTAAGAGTACTGATGGGATCCGGTGCATTGGTGCCTGTATTATTGATCCCATCATGCGCAATCTTAGTGGGTGAAATGGTAATGCACGGGTTCGAAGACACAACCTATCTGTCTTAGGCTTGTTTTCCCTCATCGTTAACCTTTTAGCGTGGTGATTACGCTGTTTTGGGCATAACTTTTGCTAGGAGTGTCCGTTTTCAGCTTGCGTGCACTTTCCGGAAAGGTCTCAACGAGACGCACAGGCGCGCGATGTGTCGGAGACCCATCGGGGCTCAGCTTTGACCTCAATTTCGCTCGTTTCTAGGCCTATGGCCTATTTTATGTTCAGCCCATTTATTCCTCATTCCTAGGCCCGTTTTGACTTCTTTCATTTTGGGTTTCGGCCACCCTTGTTTTGTGTGGCTTCCCGACGCACTTTGGAAGTTCACGCAACCCTTTGTGCTCGCTAGACAGTTTTTAAAAGAATCAAACACATAACTTGCAAAAAAAGATGAAAAGAACGAAAAGGGGTGCAACACGAAGTGGGTCACCCATCCTAGTACTACTCTCGCCCAAGCACGCTTAACTTCAAAGTTCTGATGGGTTCCGGCGCACTAGTGCTGGTATGATAACACCCATCAAGTGTTGCGCGCATGATGTTCTTATTCCTAATCCGGTGGTATTGCTCATAGTTTAAGCAACAAACTTAACTTAAGAGTACTAATGGGATCCGGTGCATTAGTACTTGTATGATTGATCCCATCATGCGCAATTTTAGTGGGCGAAATGGTAATGCACGGGGTCGAAGACGCACCCTATTGGTCTTGGGCTTGTTTGCCATCATCATTAACCTTTTAGCGTGGTGAATGCACTGTTTTGGGCATAACTTTTGCTAGGAGTGTCCGTTTTCAGCGTGCGAGCTTTTTCTGGAAAGGTCTCAACGAGACGCACAAGGGCGCGATGCGTCGGATACCCATCAGGGCTCAGCTTTGACCTCCATTTCGCTCGTTTCTGGGCCTATGGCCTATTTTATGTTCAGGCCATTCATTTCTCATTCCTAGGCCCGTTTTGACTTCTATTCTTTTTGGGTTTCGGCCACCCTTGTTTTGTGTGGCTTCCCGACACACTTTGGATGTTCACGCAACCCTTTGTGATCGCTAGACAGTTTTTTAAAAGAATCAAGCACATAACTTGCAAAAAAATGATGAAAAGAACTAAAAGGGGTGCAACACGAGGACTTCACAGGGGGTCACCCATCCTAGTACTACTCTCGCCCAAGCGCGCTTAACTTCGGAGACTTCTCATTCCTCCTGCGTTAGTCAGCGACGACCATCTTGAATTGGATTCGCTGCGCTCTTAGGATCTCCACCATCGCTCCTAATTGTATGTATTTTTTCCTTACCAGTAGATTTTTATGTATGTTCTCGTGAATTTTGGATGCATTCATGTTTAATTAGATATTTGTACTATTCATTTGGTTACACAAATTCTTCACTTAATAAACTTACTTTTTTGTTAAGTGAAAGGGGTTTAGGTCTAGAAGG